TCCCTTATCACATGATTCTGAAATGTAATGTTTAACCAAGGTTGAGAAATCTTTCTGAGAGTTTATAAGTTAGCAAGGTGCTGAGAATAATGTATGTACATGTGAAATCATCTGTCCCCTCTTTGTGAAGGTTACTGTTCAAAAAGGTGAAGGCACTGCTAGAGGGAATGTCCGGATGATGCGTCTGGTGGGCCCCACTGTCTCCTCAGACACACCGATTTATGAATGTCTGCTTCTGCTGCCCCATTGGCCAGGGTTATGGACTGACAGAATCATGTGGAGCTGGGACAGTTACTGAAGGTAAGCATTGTTAATGTGGCAAAATAATTCTGTATTAGCCACGTACTAATAAAACTATTTGCATCGCCTTTGGAAGCCAAAGTTATTTTATAATATCTTTTACATAATAGCAGATTAAATATAAACCTACATAGTTTCTCTTAGAATATCACATGTGCCCTTTATTTTTCATCCTTATAAACATTTATGCCATGTTGTGAGTCCTCAAAATTCTGTCACCCTGGTCCTTTAATCTTCTTTCTCTGAATTTCCGCCACTTTGGAGAATTGCACTCTTGGGAATGAAGTATCACTGTCATGCCCTTCTCCAATATACATTCCTGTCCTGACATCTGTCCTTTCTTTTCTGTTATTTTCAACACCTAAGGCAAGGTTTCTCAATTCTGACACTGCTTACATTTTTTAACCTATCTGGTTCTTTGTTGTTGAATGTTCTCTTGTGCATTGAAGCATATTTAGCAGTCAGATAATAGTAGCAACTCGCTTACTCCAGTTGTGACAATGAAACATATTTCCAAACATTGTCACATATCTCCTAGGGGGCACAATCATACCAGGTTGAGAAATACTGGGGTATAGAAATTTTTTGATGTTCTCACTATCATTTCATATTCACTGTGTCCAGAATCAATACCCTTATTCCAGACTGTCTCCCTGTTGCCAAATTATTTGTTTGTGTCAGTGGCATCTCCATCCTTAAAGTCATTCCATATATCAGCTTTGAAGCCATCTGATTGTTTATTTTTGCTATCTTTAACTTTCATCAGCTCTTTCCACTGCTTCATTAGGTTGTTTCTTCCCTCCGTGCCAAATTTATCATCCTACCCTTTATTACTTCAACTGCTCTGTGGTGACAGCCCATCAACTACTATGTCTGCCTGTGCTATAGCGTATCAAATCCATCCTGTCTCCTTTCACTAGACACACCTACTCCATCCACTGTTTGACATATACCAAATCTAAACACACTTTACCTAGCTTCAAAACATCTTTAATTTGGCACCATTGATCCTATCCATCATTATTTTCCACATCACCTTTTCTCTCCAGGCAAGCCAGTCATCTCAAATTTCTGCAGTTTTTAATTCTCTTCTCTTGGAATGCCCTTTTTGTTAACTGCTAATAGCCATTCTTTAGTGCCCAATTCTTCATTGAAGTCTTTCTCAACTACTTTATTTTACATTGATCTTGCTAGTGCTAACCATTAGTACCATGCAGTTTAGTATTTAAACATTCTCTAAATTGTTTCTCATATATTTCCTCTGAGGTAGTTTGCAAGGTCACTGAGGGCAGGGTCTTTTTGTCCTTTATGTGTTTTCTTCAAACTATTTAGTGTAGCTAGGTATGTAATGAGCTGTGTATAAATATGTGACTATGGTTAACAATAATCACAAATTGTAAAGGGATAACATCATTAGCATTATGTTTGATAACAGTGGCTAACATTTATTGAACACTTAGTGTGTGCTAAGAAGTGTTAAGCACTGTCCATATATCATCTCACTTAATCCTCACAGCATATTCCTGTATGAAGAAAGTTCTGTTACTGTCTGCATTTAATAAATGAAGAAATGGAGGCTAAGACAGGTTAAGTAACTTGTCCAGGTTACAGGGGCAGTATGTGATAGAGCAGGAATTCCCAACAAAATCTGTCTCATCAGAACCCTGGGTAGATAATGGTGGAGCCACCCCTTCTTTTCTTCCTCCTCTAACAGAGATTTTCCTACATAATTATCTAAAATGTAGCCCTGAAAAGCAAAAACACACAGTTGATCTGGAGATAAAACACTGAAAAGTGAACATACTTTGCACTCATCACTGTGGCCTCTTCTTTTGTCATCTAAACCCATTGTTTCTGGTATCTCATTGTGTACATCTGAAATGTGGTATTGCTAATATTTTTGTTGCTTTTTCTCTCATAGTTACTGACTATACTACTGGCAGAGTTGGAGCTCCTCTTATTTGCTGTGAAATTAAACTAAAAGACTGGCAGGAAGGTAAGAATTTCATGGCAAGGCAACAATTCTAGCTAGAATTCTAGATAGAATTCAACTACTGTGAGCCTGAAGAGTTCCATTCCTTTAAGAAAGTGTTTGGTTGTCTGAGGCAGCAAATGATTTTTTGTGATTGCCTGTTCCCTGTGGTTTCTTTTTCCTCAGTGATACTTTTAGGTTCCTAAGAGTGGAAAAAAAAATGTCTAGATTCTAGGCATAGTGACTCTCAATTTAGGAATACTTGATGGTTAAAGTGGAAAAAATATCTTTATGGGGCTATCCCTTGGTTTGGAGGTGAGGAACCTTTAAAGCTCAACTTTGTGACGATGTTGAGGCAGAAAAAGAAATCCCAGATATTCATGGAACAGAGTGACTGATTACACACATATGCACATCAGTGTCTTACATCTTGACTCTAGCAAAGATTTTCAAAGTCAAGACTCACCTGTCCAGCAATTTGTATAGTTGAATTTTTACATGCAATGGCCAGCCACTTAAAGGAAACCTGCACTGTACAGACCTGGGTGCTAATCCCTTTTACAAATGAGCAGTAGGCAAAAGAAAACCAGTCTTCCTATGATGAGCATAATAAAAGATATTAAATATACATTAATTGCCATAATGTGGATTATTAAATAAATAATAACAGCCTAGCCATGCAAGATAAAGAAAGTAATTAAAAAGCTCAGGATTTTACCTTGAGAAGGAACTGGGAACTGAGATTTGAAGAAGCATAAGTTCCTTTGTAGGGTACCTCCATTAGGTTGTCCAAACCCCAGGCAAATGAATGGGTTTCATCTAGCATCACTTTTAAATTTCTGAAAGCCTTTCTCCTTTATGATTTTCTTATTCTGTGAAATACTATTGTCAGTTCTCTATGAGAAAACAAATATTTCTTGTTTAAAATCTACTTATTTATTTATTTTGGGATGGGTTTTTCCTATGTTGCCCAGGCTAGTCTCAAATTAAAAATTACATTTAAAACCTAAGTGCATTCCCAAGAGTTTTGCATCTTAAGACTAAGTCCTCCTTTCTTCCATTCCAATTTTAGAATGAAAATATACATGGTGTGTGTTTATTTGCATTGGGCATCAGCATCAAAATTGTTTTATTAGAAAAGTTGTTAGACACTGGAACCAGGGAAATGTTTGTAGTAAAACTTAGTAAGAATGATTTTGACTTTAGTTTTTGTTTTCTCATTTCTTGGTGTTGTGCTTTAATGTCAGTTTGGGGGAGCGGGTCCATTTTTGGACATGTATTTGGGATTCTACTTGCTATGAAGGATTCTTGGCATTATACAGTAGGAATGATCTTAATGTTTTATACACAATGAGTTTTGTTATTTTGAAACATCAGTAGTTTAAAATTTATAAGAATAGCTAATGGCTGAAAGGTACTCTGCTTTTAATCCTTTGATGACACAAAATCTAATTATCTCAGTTTACAAGTTTAGGTTTTGGTATATTTTCCTTAAAGTAACCTTTATTCAGTAATAAAGCTTTACTTAGTAGGGAATAGTGTTAAAATATTTTAGTAGTTATCAGTTCTTTCAGTATCTTAATTTTTTTAAATTTTGATTTTTAAATTCTTAATTTTTAAAGTCATGACTGGCCATAGACAAAATTCATAAAATTCCCCTCCTGTTTCTCATAGCTTCCCCTTCCCTCTCACTTAATGGTGTTGCCTTTTTAAGGTACTCACTATCTGTTCTACCTTCCTTAAAATCTTCTTGGCAAAAGATCTGAAATGTATTGATATCAACAGATTAGTAATTTAGTAGTAAACAGCCTTAAGTGCCACTTTTTGTTGGGAATGATTTCATCTTAAGAGCTCTACGAATCCTAAGCTTTCATAATGTTCCAAGTGTGAAGTTTTATGTCATGGGCAGGTTTGGGATAGGAGGTTGTCCATGGTAATTATTGTCTCCTCTCATGCTCCTGAAATCATAGCCATCCACTATCCTCATGTAAAACCAGCTAAATTAAACTAGTGTTCTCCTATAACATGATGTAAATTTTGATCTGCAGAAAAATGTTAACAAAGGGACTTTAAGCATTAATGACAGTAAATTTTCTTTTAGAACAATAACTGATTTGCTTTTATGGTTTCTAGGTGGTTATACAGTTCATGACAAGCCAAACCCCAGAGGTGAAATTGTAATTGGTGGGCAGAATATCTCCATGGGATATTTTAAAAATGAAGAGAAAACTGCAGAGGATTATACTGTAGATGAAAATGGACAAAGGTGGTTTTGCACTGGTGATATTGGAGAATTCCATCCTGATGGATGTTTACAAATTATAGGTCAGTATATTCTCTTTTCTGTGGGTTTTTTTTTTCAGTTTTTATAATTTTAACCCATGTAAAAGATATAATGGTCAGGTCATCAATAAGGTTGATGTTTCCATTGGTTTAAACTTGGGGAAGGTTATTTTACTTACGCCTCAGCTTCTCCATCTGCAAAATAGAGATAGTTACCAACCTCACAGGGTGGCTGTTAGGATTAAATGAGTTGACATATATAAAATATTCAGAGAAGTACCTGAACTTTAGTAAGTTGTAGCAACCATAGCAGCAGCAGCAGGAGCATTGGGGATGGGGAAATCTGAGTAGGAAAATAACAAATTGGTTAATAAGAAAACAATTATAGTTCAGAAGAGGGCTTTTTTTGGTCAACTACATGTGGTTCTGCCTAACTATTTACTGTAATACACCCTACTCTAAGCCTTCCCTACCCTTTATTGTGTACTCCCTTTACCTCCCCACTCAAGAGACAGAATAGGCCCATTTTTTTTCACGGTGGCCGTTTCTATGGCTCTAACTAGCCCTGAACCCTAGAACAGTACATTAATCTTCAACACCAGTCTGTTCTTCTAAGAACATCTGCTATTTTGGCACTTCCCTTACTTAGCCTTCAGAAGTAGACATTTAAACTCAAAAAGCAACTCCAAGGGAATATTCTGTTCATTTTAAACATACAAAAGTTAAAAAAATTGACTTGCTGAAAAGGACCATTCTGCACTCCAGGGCCTCACACATGCTAGGTAAGTGCTCGCCACTGAGCTACACTTTCAGTCCTCTGTTCGATTCTTAATTGCACTACAATCAAAGGTTGTTTCTTTTTTTGTTATTCATTTATTCACATGTGCATACATTGTTTGGGCCATTTCTCCCCTCTACCCTCCACTCCCCACCCCCTCTCGCTTCCATGTACAACCTGTTCTGCCCTTATCTCTGATTTTGTTGAAGAGAACACATAAGCAATTTTAAGAAAGACAAAGCGTTTTTGCTAGTTGAGTTAAGGATAGCTACACAGAGAGATTCCTAGCATTGCTTTCATGTACAAATGTGTTACAACCCAAGTTGATTCATCTCAAACTGACTTTTTCACTAGTTTCTGATCTCCCTCTCATACTGACCTCTGTCACTTTAAGGTTTCTGTATAAGTCCCTCTGTAGTGGGGACATCAAACACTTTCATGTTTTGGGTTTCTTACCTGTCCCCCATACCTCCCATATGTGCTCTCCCCTTACCATGTGACCCAAGTCGAACCACATTGCTGTATTTGCCCTAGATCTAAAGTCTGCATATGAGGGAGAACATACGATTTTTTGTTTTTCTGAGCCTGGCTAACCTCGCTCAGGGTTATATTCTCCAGTTCCTTGATTTACTTGCAAATGATAAGATTTCATTCTTCTTCATGGCTGAATAAAGTTCCACAGTGTATAAATACATTTTCTTTTTCTTTTCTTTTATTTTTTTATTATTTTATTATTCATATGTGCATACAAGGCTTGGGTCATTTCTCCCCCCTGCCCCCACCCCCTCCCTTACCACCCACTCCGCCCCCTCCCTCTCCCCCCCACCCCCTCAATACCCAGCAGAAACTATTTTGCCCTTATTTCTAATTTTGTTGAAGAGAGAGTATAAGCAATACTAGGAAGGAACAAGGGCTTTTGCTAGTTGAGATAAGGATAGCTATACAGGGCATTGACTCACATTGATTTCCTGTGCGTGTGTGTTACCTTCTAGGTTAATTCTTTTTGATCTAACCTTTTCTCTAGTACCTGTTCCCCTTTTCCTATTGGCCTCAGTTGCTTTTAAGGTATCTGCTTTAGCTTCTCTGCATTAAGGGCAACAAATGCTAGCTAATTTTTTAGGTGTCTTACCTATCCTCGCCCCTCCCTTGTGTGCTCTCGTTTTATCATGTGCTCAAAGTCCAATCCCCTTGTTGTGTTGCCCTTGATCTAATGTCCACATAAGGGAGAACATACGATTTTTGGTCTTTTGGGCCAGGCTAACCTCACTCAGAATGATGTTCTCCAATTCCATCCATTTACCAGCGAATGATAACATTTTGTTCTTCATGGCTGCATAGAATTCCATTGTGTATAGATACCACATTTTCTTAATCCATTCGTCAGTGTGGGGCATCTTGGCTGTTTCCATAACTTGGCTATTGTGAATAGTCGCAATAAACATGGGTGTGCAGGTGCCTCTGGAGTAACCTGTGTCACAGTCTTTTGGGTATATCCCCAAGAGTGTATTGCTGGATCAAATGGTAGATCAATGTCTAGCTTTTTAAGTAGCCTCCAAATTTTTTTCCAGAGGGTTGTACTAGTTTACATTCCCACCAACAGTGTAAGGGTTCCTTTTTCCCCCGCATCCTCGCCAACACCTGTTGTTGTGGTGTTGCTGATGATGGCTATTCTAACAGGGGTGAGGTGGAATCTTAGTGTGGTTTTAATTTGCATTTCCTTTATTGCTAGAGATGGTGAGCATTTTTTTCATGTGTTTTTTGGCCATTGAATTTCTTCTTTTGAGAAAGTTCTGTTTAGTTCACTTGCCCATTTCTTTATTGGTTCATTAAGTTTTGGGTTGAGATTTAGTTTTTTTTTTTTTTCATTTTTTTATTCATATGTGCATACAAGGCTTGGTTCATTTCTCCCCCCTGCCCCCACCCCTCCCTTACCACCCACTCCACCCCCTCCCCTCCCCCCTCAATACCCAGCAGAAACTATTTTGCCCTTATCTCTAATTTTGTTGTAGAGAGAGTATAAGCAATAATAGGAAGGAACAAGGGTTTTGCTGGTTGAGATAAGGATAGCTATACAGGGCATTGACTCACATTGATTTCCTGTGCGTGGGTGTTACCTTCTAGGTTAATTCTTTTTGATCTAACCTTTTCTCTAGTTCCTGGTCCCCTTTTCCTATTGGCCTCAGTTGCTTTAAGGTATCTGCTTTAGTTTCTCTGCATTAAGGGCAACAAATGCTAGCTAGTTTTTAGGTGTCTTACCTATCCTCACCCTCCCTTGTGTGCTCTCGCTTTTATCATGTGCTCATAGTCCAATCCCTTGTTGTGTTTGCCCTTGATCTAATGTCCACATATGAGGGAGAACATACGATTTTTGGTCTTTTGGGCCAGGCTAACCTCACTCAGAATGATGTTCTCCAATTCCATCCATTTACCAGCGAATGATAACATTTCGTTCTTCTTCATGGCTGCATAAAATTCCATTGTGTATAGATACCACATTTTCTTAATCCATTCGTCAGTGTGGGCATCTTGGCTGTTTCCATAACTTGGCTATTGTGAATAGTGCCGCAATAAACATGGTGTGCAGGTGCCTCTGTAACAGTCTTTTGGGTATATCCCCAAGAGTGGTATTGCTGGATCAAATGGTAGATCGATGTCAGCTTTTTAAGTAGCCTCCAAATTTTTTTCCAGAGTGGTTGTACTAGTCTACATTCCCACCAACAGTGTAAGAGGGTTCCTTTTTCCCCGCATCCTCGCCAACACCTGTTGTTGGTGGTGTTGCTGATGATGGCTATTCTAACAGGGGTGAGGTGGAATCTTAGTGTGGTTTTAATTTGCATTTCCTTTATTGCTAGAGATGGTGAGCATTTTTTCATGTGTTTTTGGCCATTTGAATTTCTTCTTTTGAGAAAGTTCTGTTTAGTTCACTTGCCCATTTCTTTATTGGTTCATTAGTTTTGGGAGAATTTAGTTTTTTAAGTTCCCTGTATATTCTGGTTATCAGTCCTTTGTCTGATGTATATTGGCAAATATTTTCTCCACTCTGTGGGTGTTCTCTTCAGTTTAGAGACCATTTCTTTTGATGAACAGAAGCTTTTTAGTTTTATGAGGTCCCATTTATCTATGCTATCTCTTAGTTGCTGTGCTGCTGGGGTTTCATTGAGAAAGTTCTTACCTATACCTACTAACTCCAGAGTATTTCCTACTCTTTCTGTATCAACTTTAGAGTTTGGGGTCTGATATTAAGATCCTTGATCCATTTTGAGTTAATCTTGGTATAGGGTGATATACATGGATCTAGTTTCAGTTTTTTGCAGACTGCTAACCAGTTTTCCCAGCAGTTTTTGTTGAAGAGGCTGCTATTTCTCCATCGTATATTTTTAGCTCCTTTGTCAAAGAAAGTTGGTTATAGTTGTTGTGGCTTCATATCTGGGTCCTCTATTCTGTTCCACTGGTCTTCATGTCTGTTTTTGTGCCAGTACCATGCTGTTTTTATTGTTATTGCTTTGTAAATAGTTTGAAGTCAGGTATGTGATACCTCCTGCATTGTTCTTTTGACTGAGTATTGCCTTGGCTATTCGTGGCCTCTTGTGTTTCCATATAAATTTCAGTAGATTTTTCAATCTCTTTAATGAATGTCATTGGAATTTTGATGGGAATTGCATTAAACATGTAGATTACTTTTGGGAGTATCGACATTTTTACTATGTTGATTCTACCAATCCATGAGCATGGGAGATCTCTCCACTTTCTATAGTCTTCCTCAATCTCTTTCTTCAGAAGTTTATAGTTTTCCTTGTAGAGGTTTCACATCTTTTGTTAGGTTTACACCTAGGTATTTGATTTTTTTGAGGCTATTGTAAATGGAATTGTTTCATACATTCTTTTTCAGTTTGCTCATTTTAGTGTATAGAAATGCTAATGATTTTTCTATGTTGATTTTATATCCTGCTACCTTGCTATAGCTATTGATGATGTCTAGAAGCTTCTGAGTAGAGTTTTTTGGGTCTTTAAGGTATAGGATCATGTCGTCTGCAAATAGGGATATTTTGACAGTTTCTTTACCTATTTGTATTCCTTTTATTCCTTCTTCTTGCCTAATTGCTCTGGCTAGAATTCCGGTTGCTGTGTTGAATAGGAGTGGAGATAGTTATTACCACAATTTTCTTAATACCATTCTTCAGCTGGGCATCTTGGTGTTTCCATACTTGGCTATTGTGAATAGACTGCAATAAACATGGGTGTGCAGGTGCCTCTGGAGTAACCTGTGTCGCATTCCTTTGGGTATATCCCCAGGAGTGGGATTGCTGATCATATGGCAGATCTATGTTTAGATTTTTAAAAGCTCCAAATTTTTTTCCAGAGTGGTTGCATTGAGCAGTGTACGAGGGTTCCTTTTTCCCCACATCCTCGCCAACACCTGTTGTGGTGGTGTTTTTGATGAAGCTATTCTAACAGGTGAGTGGTGGAATTCTTAGTGTGGTTTTGATTTGTATTTCCTTTATGGCTAGAGATGGTGAGCATTTTTTCATGTGTTTTTTGGCCATTTGAATTTCTTCTTGAGAAAGTTCTGTTTAGTTCAGTTGCCCATTTCTTAATTGGTTCATTGATTGAGAGTTTGAGAGTTAGTTTCTTAAGTTCCTGTATATTCTGGTTATCAGTCCTTTGTCTGATGTATAGCTGGCAAATATTTTCTCCCACTTGTGGGTGGTCTCTTCAGTTTAGAGACCATTTCTTTTGTTGTGCAGAAGCTTTTTAATTTTATGAAGTCCCATTTGTCCATCCTT